TCGATTCCCGGAGCCTCACTTCGCTATTCCGTCCGGTCCGCGGTGCACGCCCGGCCTGCCCTGCCTCCCGCCCTCGCCCCGCCAGGGCTCCGGTCCCCCGCTCTCAGCTGGGTCCTCCAGCTCCTCGGTCCGGCCTCCGCCCTCGGGCCCCCGCTGTCTGGGCTGCACATCCCCCGCCCGGCCTCACAGCTCCCGTTCCCGCCTGCGCTCTCGCTCTGCGGGCTTCGGTGCCCGCTCCTGCAGCGTCGTGGTGGCAAACAAAGGATCCTTCGGTCCGACCGTGCCCCTCGGTCCCGACACGTCCCTCCAGGCCCGCCGCACCCCGCCCCGCGCGCCGGCCCCGCCCACTTCCGCTTTGAATTCTCCTTTTGGGCCTCGGGAGTTCCCGCCATCTGCGCTGGTTTTTGCTGGTCAAGTGCGGGGGATCTGTTGGCGGCGTCCTACTGGAGAAGCATACGGAAGGGAGACAACGCTGCACCCGTTGCCCAGTCTGAGCTCGGAGAGGAAGGGGAGCTAGCTGGAACGCACGCAGGTAATCTCTGCTTCCCGCCTCGCCCCCTACCCCTCTGGGCCCCTTTCCCCCCGCCGCGTTTCCTTTCCCCTTCGTCCCTTCCTCCCTTTACTCCCTCCCCCTTCGGCCACTCGTCCCTTCGCCCCCTTTTCTTTCCCTCTCCCCCTCTCCGCCCCCTCCCCTTTCCACCCTTCCCTTCCTCCCCAGGACCTGAGCAATTCCCGGGTTCCTGCCCCTGTATCCGAAGCCTTGTCTGCCCTACTGATCCCGTCCTGTGGTGGGTCATGCACTCACTTCGGACCTTGATGCAAACTGCCTAGCATTTTCGCAGAATGATATGAGGAAACTTTAAAAGGTTCATGGGGAATGGAATGAAAATACGAATTTATTTTGGTACAAAATATTTTTAAAATTCATGCATAGTTTTTTCATGACATGTATTTTCTATGGACTTTTAGAAGACGCGACGTGTACTAACACATGTGAGCTCAGAATTCTGGATCACATTAGGAAGCCTGTAACATTCAGGGGACAGATCAGGGACCCCTGATAAAACCAACCTGTCTCCACCACGCTTGCCCGTTTGAGTATATGTCAGAGATTGTATTCTGCGCATACATGTACATAGTTAGGTGTATGGCTACCATTTGTTGAGTGCTTATTTCCATGATCTTAATGTTTATTTCAACACCCTCCGGAGGCATAGGCATTTCCGACCTCCACCTGGGGTTGAAGAGGGTAAGTTGTGTGTGCTCACTGGAAGGAGAGACTGGGGAGTCAGACTCAGATCCCAGAAGTACAGCTTAGGCCTTTGTTTATCCCTTTCCCTCTATCCCTCCCAAACTGAGTGAGGCCCAGTGCTTGGCAGTGCTTTTTCTGCTGCAGTAAAACCGAAGATTGCTTTTACTCCCAGTGCTGACAGCAGTTCAGTGAGGCAGTAATTCTCAAGGAGCTAGTAGAGTTGAGTAAGACCTCGAAACCCCGAACCCCTTCTGTGGCTAAACTTTCTAAACTGAATGATGCTTCACATAAAGCATCAGAAGTAGTTTTCTATTTTTCTGTAGGTTATACTGAATTACTAAGTCTAGAGAAACTTTACTTATAGCACAATAGTAGCCGGAGGCAATGCCTTGTGACTGAGCCCAGCAATTTCTCTTCACAGAGGTGTCCCAGAGTTGGCAGAACTAGACCTGGGCCTTGGAAGGGAAGGACTCTGCAGCAGCCATGTGAGGCCTCAAGGTGAAAGAACCATGTGCATTCGGGCTTCTGGGGCCGGCCAGGAGCAGGGCATGGGACTTACCACTCACCTGAGAAGGTGGAACAAGAAACCGAACAGGTAAGAGATTTAGGGTTGGATTCTGGAGGGGAGTTTACACTGCATGACCCAACTGTAGTGTGCATTGAGGGAAGCAGTGGCTCAGTGAGTGTCCTATGAAAAGTCATGAATGGTTTTAAGGGTGATTAGTCTGGCCCTGGTGGTAGTGCCATTTGAATGGGACATCCTGTGTGTATGGGGGCGGTGGGTGTAGAAAGGAGGAATTGTGAAAGAACAATATTTCACAGTATGTTTTGTTATCCCTTATAAGAGTTTTTTGGAAAAGTTAAATATGAGTAACTTGTTTCCAGGCAAATGATTGAAGTGGAGATAAAAGAAAATTCAGTGTTTAATTTCTTACGGTGTTACTCATTTGGGTAGTTAACTTATATTTCTGTAAATGATTTGTTTATTTATTTATTTTTTGCCAGTGGACACAAGTACTTGCCGAAAAGAGAGAGAGAGGCAGGGAGAGAGAGAAAGAGGGAGGAAGCACCCCACCCCCAGTGGAGGCTGGTCATGCCGCAATCCCCTCTCCATTTCTACAGTGTGTTGGGATTTGGGGCACACACATACCTGCATGTTTTCAAGCCCCCAGAGGCAGGATTTGAATGGCAGTCAGCCATATGGGATCTGGCTTCCTTAACCACTTCACATGGGGCCATCCCTGTCAATGACTGTGGTCACATATTTTATGATGAATACACATTTATAGTAGGTGAAATGGTGTGAGTGCATTTTAGCGGGCCAGAGAAAGGGTAGTATTAAGAACACATCACGGATACTAGAACGTTACTCAATACTAGATCTAGACTATTTCCAGAAAACACAAAATACTAATGAGTCTAATCTCAAGCTAGAGGAGGGAATTGGAGTTGTGTGGAGTAAGGATTGACCACAGTGGGGGATAAAACATCCCCATCCCTCACAAAAAAAAAAAAAAAAAAAAAAAAAAGACACTGGGAGAACTAGGCAGGCAAAACTAAGGCGAGGTGGGTCTCAGGTCTTCCTAGAAGCCAGTGGACGTGAAGCTCCTGGCCCTAGGCCAGCTGCCTCCAGCAACCAGGCAGTCAGGTGTCAGGGCTGAGCAGGTCTGGTCATAAACCAGGGGAGGCCACGGCTGCTGCCGTGTGTGTCATCTGCTTCATCCTTCCTGGCCCTTCTTTAAAAGGACTAACCTAGCTTTTTTCTAGCTCCACCACTTTTAGTTGTAAAATTGTTGTCAACCATGGTTAAATAAACATTCTAATGCAACATTAAAAAATAAATCAGAGCGGAGCCAGCAGGTGGTGTGGTTCTTAAGGCACTGGATTCTGTATGGCTGACTGCACTGTTCGACTCCTGGACCTGGCAACCTAAAAAGCTGCCAGGTCGGGCCAGCAGAGGGTGTAGGGGTTACGTTGTTGGTCTCCCACATGGTCGACTGCGGTTGAGTCCTGGACCCGGTGGCTTGAAACTCATGCCAGGCTCATGTACGTGCATGCTCAAAAATCTGGAGAGAATTGAGAAGGGATTGTGGTGTGGCTGTTCCCCTGAGGGCGTGATTTCTCGCTTTCTGTCTGTCTGTCTGTCTCTCTGGCAAGCGCATATGCCCTTTATAGCAAAAAAACCTCTCAAGTAAAAGAAAAACATGTCAAGGGCCTGTACGTGCTGGCCAAACATTCTGAAGAGAGTGAAGAAGGGATTGTGGCCTCTCCATCCCGCTTAGGGAGGGGCTTGCTTCTTTCCCTTTCTCTGTCTGTCTCTCTGACATTTGATACTAAGTGGTCGGCTATGGAAGACTTAATGCTAAGGAAGCAAGCCAGCCTTTGTAGGTTTCCACTCAAGATAAACCGATCACTGAAAGTTTGGAAGTGTAATAGCAGGGAGGGCAGCTGTAGGTACTAGGTACTAGTGATAGTAAGGATAGGGGTAATACTGGGGTGGTTACCAGAGGGAGGGAGGGAGGGGAAAGGGGAAGAAGAAAAAAGTACGTTTAATTGACAAAGAAATGAAAAGCTATTTACAGATAATAATGTAGATAGTAATATATTTGGCTTGACTGATAGGCATGGTACTGGTGCTGGAAAAAAAACGTACACTGTAGAGATATATGTGATTAAGTGTAAATTAAAATAAAAAAACAAAAAGCATTTCTGATGGGCTACATCATGTCCCAGAGGGTAGGATGAGTAATGTGATAGTCCCAAGTCACAATGCCAGATGTCCTCCTGCTCCTTCTCCTTCCTTTTGTCATTCAACACTCCTGAGTCCCAGTCATCTGTGCCTCACTCCAGCTGTTAGAATTTTCAAGCTGTGCAGAGAACAGGGCACTTGACGTATAGAGAACTTCTCTTTCTTCTTCTTTGTCACTTTTGATCTCCCCTGTCCAGTGAATCTTAAACTGTTTTTCTGTCGTGATTCCATAAGTTTCATCTGACCTTCCATGGTCATACGAAGTGGTTTTTGTTTTGTTTTAAATGCAAAAAATAAAAATTCCTGATACGAGTTCCATGTGAGTAAAGTGAACACCCACATGGTCATTCCTAGCCAGTTGTTGGTTACTTACCAGCTGTGATTCGGACGATCGATTGCGTTCTGAGTGTATTTCCTTATTAAGTAATCCACTGATGAGTGGATTTCATTAAAAGTTAGTAAATTTTATAGATGAAAGGCAGTTTCTTGCTCAGGTTTACCTAAATATAATGTTTTTTTCTGTCCCTCTTTTTCTCAATTGCCGGAGGGCACGTGCTTGCCAGAGAGAGACACAGAGAAGGAGAGAGACGTCACACACACACATACCCCCCCGCCCCCCGTGGGGTGTGGTGTGGTCATGCTGCATCCCTTCTCCATCCCTGCATCCTGTTGGAATTTGGCGCACATGTGCACACGTGTTTGATGTGTCTTTCAAGCTGCTGGGGCTGATACTCAGCTGTACTTGGTCTTGTGGAAGCTGACTCCCTTAACTACTAGGCCATGGGCCGGACCAGAATATAACGGATTTTTAACTGTTTGCAAATCAGATTAAAGTAAACTGAATACTTAGCATCTGTATAGCAATAAGGAGCTATACCACTCTTTACTGAGAAATTAAAGCAGTTTTTTTCTTAATTGCCTCATTATCTCCATCCAATGAAATGATTCCTAGGCAGCATATCTGTTATGAAATTTATCTTGACATCTTTTTTTTTAAAGAATTACTTTTTATTTAATTTACTTACTTACTTAATTTTATTTGTCAAAAGAGGGACAGAGCAAGAAAGAGAAAGTGAGAAAGCAAACCGCCAGGTCCAGGACTCGAACCAGTCAGTCATGTGGGAGCCCAGTATCCTTAACCATGGCACCTGCCAGCTCCTCTCTTAACATCTTTAAAATTCTATTTATGTCTTTTAGTATATAACGCATCATTCATGTGGACTAGTTGTAATTCTGAGAGGATAATCTTTCTTAGGTCTGTTATGGCTAATGTCGGATTTAAAAATCTATGAGCAGTGTGCCTTTTGTTTCTAACAAGTCTTACTCTTAATCTTTCAGGGAGATTCTGTTTTTCCTTCCAGACAATATCTCATTTGCCAGTGAATTTGTGTTGCTGTGACGTTTTCTACTAAAATCCAGGCAGTATGAATTAATTTGATAAGCACAAAGGCAATGCCTAGGTTACACAAGCGTTTACCCTCAAATGCTTTAGTATATATTATTATTTTACTTCATTAAAAAACTTAGAGGGTCAGCTGGTGGCTTGGAGGTTAAGGCAGATGGATCCCACATGGCTGACTACATGGTTTGGGTTCCAGATCAGTGACATAAAAAATATTCTGGGTACATGTGCATGTATGCCCAAAATCCCAATGAATGGAAAAGAAAGGATTATGGCATGTTCATTCCCTTGGTGTGGGGAGGTGCTAGCTCACTTTTCCCACCTACCTCCCTTTCTCTCTCTCTCTGGCGAACGCATGCTCCCTATTACAAATTTTTTTTTTTTGAAAAAAGTGTATTTTCTAACACTTTGGTGAGTAGGTCTGTCCTGGACTTACTCAGGTTTACTCATGTGTTGAATTCACATGATGCCTGGATGATCCAAAATGGTCTAACCCACATGTTTGGCAGTGAGTGCTGGCTGGTGAATAGAATGTCTTGGCTCTTCTCCAATATGGCCGTTCACCCTCGATGAGACGTGACAGTCTCAGGACAGGACACCAGGATAGCCAAATCTGGTGCAAAAGCACTTATCAAGCCCTGCTTGCTTTACATTTGTCGTTGTGACATTGGCCAAAGCAAATCATATGGCCAAGCCCAAAGTCTGTGTGGGAGAGAGCTTAGATGCCTTCTCATGATGGGAAAAATTGCAAGTAATTTGTGACTGGTTTTTTTTTTTCTATGAGAACTAGAGAGGGGCACTCCCATCAGGATGCTCACACCACAGTCACACCCTCCGCCTCAGCCAGCCGGAATCACAGGCATGTGAGCATATGCTGGGTGCGCACAGGGAGACCTCAGGACATGAATCCAGGCCCTTCCCATGTAACCTCAGTGTCTCCAAGTGTCGCATTACGACTATACCACATTGCGTGACCTGTGGCTATTTTTAGTCTACAGGTAGAAGTTTTCCCCCTCTTCTAAAAACCTGTTCTTTTTCTAAAGATAAATTAATAAAATAAATCATAACCCTAATTGGGAAAGTATTGCCCCCCTTTTTGTCTTGGCATGACTAATATGGAAGTATTGCATGGAAACAAAAATCTTTCATTATTGGGGGCCAGCAGGTGGTGTGGTGGTTAAGGTACTGGGTTTCCACATGGCCCACCATAGTTTGAGTCCCAGATCTGGTGACTTGAAAATCATGCCAGATGCGTTTTTGTGTGTGCTCAAAAATCCCAAGAGGAGAACAGAGGAGAAGGGATTGTGGTGTGGCCATCCCCATGGGGTATAATTTTTCACTTTCTTTCTGTCTGTGTCTCTCGGCAAACACATGTGCCCATCCCTCCCCCCAAAATCACTCATTACAAATATAGCCAAACCCAGGTTAAAACCAAGGTTGTAATTCCCATTCATATACTGAGTTGTCCCTGCAACTAAAAGTTATGTTGGGGGACCAGCAGATAGCGTAATGGTTATGTTACTGGACTCCCCTGTAGTTGACCATGGTTCGAGTCCTGGGCCCGGTGACTTAAAACTCACACCAGTTTGTGTGTGCCCAAAAACCTTGAGAGAAGAATGGAGGAGAAGGGATTGTGGTGTGGCCATCACCCCTGGGGGATGATTTCTCGCTTTCTGTCTCTTTCTGGTGAGTGCACGTGCCCGATAGCAAAAATCTCTTCCTTGGGACCCAGCAGTTAGCATTGTAATGGCTATGTCGCTGGACTCCCACGTAGTGGACCATGGTTCGCATCCTGGACCTGGCGGCTTAAAACTCACGCCGGGCGCGTGTGTGTGCATGCGCAAGATCCCGAGAGGAGAGTGGAGGAGAAGGGATTGCGGCGTGACCGTCCCCCCGGGGGGTGATTTCTTGCTTGCTGTCTCTATGTCTCTCTCTGTCTGTCTGGCGAGTGCACGCGCCCTATAGCGAAAATCTCTCCAAAAATAAAAAAATAAAAAAAATCTCTCCCTCAAAAAAAAAAAAAATGTTGTGTTGGGAGAGAGGTGAACAGAGACAGAGGGAAAGGGAACTCAGAGCTGTAAGCACAAGAAATAAAAGCACGAGAATGGTGGCCAGTGTAGTAGCACCGCCCAGGCCGGGTGGGTGACACACTGTCCAGTGAAATAGTGATGATGAAAGCCAAAATGATATGAAAAGCACTTATGTTTACTTGAGGTTTTGTAATTTTCAATTTTATTTATCTATTTATTTATTTATTTATTTTTCTGTAGGACATGTGAACTCTTTGAAGAAAGAGAGGGAGGGAGGGCACATGAGAAATCACCCCCCAGGCAGGATGGCCACACTGCAGTCTCCTTCATTCTCCTCTTGGGATTTTGGGCACGCACACATACATGCATATTTTCCAAGCCACTGGGTCTGGGACCTGAACCACATAGTCACCCACGTGGGATCCAGCCACCTTATCCACCATGCTACCTGGTTGGCCTTCAAAATGTTTTCATAGGTCTCATCGCATGTATTCTCAGGTTAACTATATAAAGTATTCAAGATGATATTGGCTCCTCCTTTATAGCTGATTAAACTAGGAGTCAGAGAGCTTCCTACGTCCAAGGTCATAACACAAAGAGTTGCCAAGGTAACCAGCCCTTCTCTTGTTCTGTGGTAAAACTTCATTCAAAGAATAAAATACAAAGCAAACAAGGAAATCTGTGTCAGAAAATGAGTTTTGAAATTGTACCAAATATATTCTGACCAAAGAAACATGTCCTTTTTGTTTGTCTGTCTTCATTGTAATTCATAGAAGCCTTACCTAGGTAAGATCTGTTCTCTCCGTATTTCTGAACCAATGAAGAGGAAGTGGGAAGCAAAACTGAAGCAAATTGAAGAGCGAGCATCTCGTTATGAGAGGAAGCCACTGTTCTCCGTGTATAGGCCACGGCTGTGCAAGCCAGAAGAACCCCCCTCCATTTGGAAACTCTTTCATCGGCAGACCGAAGCTTTTAATTTTGTTAAAAGCTGTAAAGAGGTAACTGTCTCACCTCTGCTTTCTTTTTATTATTTTTAGTTTTTGAGTTCCCCTTAACTTCAGACTTCTAAAAAAAAATAAATCTATTTATGTTCATTTCAAGCCAATTACTCTACCAGGAAAATTTAATACAATCTTAATACATGATTTAGGGAATGTATCCCTACTAATTATTTGCCATTTGATTTTGATTAATTAGCTAATTAATTATGGCCAATGGCTAATAATTAGTAGGGATACATTAATTTTAGTAGGGATACATTAAGTTTAATAATAATATATATATTTTTAAAAAGGGACCTGCAGATGGCATAATGGTTACATTACTTGACTCCCACATAGTCGACCCCAGTTTGAGTACCAGACCTGATGGCTTAAACTCATTAGACATGTGTGCATGCGTGCCCAAGATCCCGAGAGGAGAATGGAGGAGAAGGGATTATAGCGTGGCCATCCCTCCTGGGGATGATTTCTCACTTTCTGTCTCTCTGTCTCTCTCTGTTCAGTGAGTACATGTGCCCTATAGCAAAACTCTATCTCTCTCAAAAAAAAAAAATGACAATTAAAAAAAATATTTAGTACCATTTAGTTTAAACATTTTATAATGACATTTAAGTGAAGCTATGCTTAGAGAAAGGGTGAATATATATATATATATTTCTCTCTTCCATGAGTGAGATAGATAGCACCCCAGCAGGGTCTTGACACTGTGACCCAGCCCCAGCTTCAGCCAGCCCCAGATAATGGGCCTGTGTGACCGCCATGCATAGGGAGGTCTCTGGGCACGAACCCAGCACCTTCCCATATGGTTATCCTCACGGAGTGTCACGTTTCCTGCAGCACTGCCAGCCAGCCCCAGGCGATCATGCTTATTATATGAACATACTGAGCAAGCCGGAAGAAGACGTGCTTGCTGCATGCCAGCCTTGCAAAGAGCATAGTGCTAGAAAACAAAAAAATAATAAATCAAATAGATGTGTATCACACATCCTCCACTGGGGGCTGTAGGGAACATAAAGGAGTACCCATGAGGGTCTTCTCTGTGGTCTGGTGGTCGAGGGATCTGTAATCGATCCCACATGGCTGCCTGTGTGGTTTGAATCCCAGCCCCTGCAGCTTGAAGACCTTCCTGGACATGTGTGCATGTGTGCCCCCAAATCCCGATAGGCTGGAGAGATGGAAAAGGAGGGATTATGGCATGATCATGACCCAGTGGAGATACTTTCTTTTCCTCCTTCTCTATCTGGCTCTGATGAGTTCACATACCCTCTGCCAAATTAAAAAAAAAAAAAAAAGTATGTAAATATGAGGGGTCAGCAAGTGGCATGGTGGTTAAGGTACTAGATTCCCACGAGTCCCGGACCTGGCGGCTTGCTGGCTTTCTCTCTCTGTGTTTCTGTGTCTCTGTATCTCTGGTGAGTGTGTGTGCCCTATAGCAAATTTTTAAAAATAATAATAAAATTAAGTCATTCTTAAAGAAAAGAACATGTGAAAAATAACAAATATATCGTGATTCTGATTACTCTGGTTATTAACACCATATAAAAATCTCAAAGTATCGTAATTTTTAGAAGAGAGATCCCCCTTTTTCTAGTAAAAAGATACTTAGAATCAACCAAATAGTTTCAGAAATAAAAGAAAAACCTTTCTTATTTTGTGTAAAATTAATTGAGGCACCAAAACTTAAATACTGACAGGTTCATTTGAACTTAAATTTTAAAAGATACAGGGGTATGTTTGTTGGACTTGCCAATCATCAGTTTATAAATTTGTTTCAGGGAGATTTTTTTTTTTTTTTAAGAGAGATTCTTGCTGCAGGGTGCCTGTCCTCGCCAGAGAGACAGACAGAGAGACCGAAGGCGAGAAACCACCTCCTGGGAGGATGGCCACTCCTCAAACCCTTCTCCATTTTCTTGGGTTTTGGGGCATGCATGCACATTGTGCCCAGTGTGAGTTTTAAGCTCCTGGGTCCAGTACTCGAACCGTGGTCTACTACTTGGGATTCCAGTGACATGGTCAACTACTTGGGATTCCATTACACCATCTGCTGGTCCCTCAAAAAATTTTAATAGGGTCAGAGAGCTGCGTCCTCTTGTGATTTCACACATAAGAAAATGAAAATAGGCTCACTTGCTATCCTCGGCTAAGTGGAAACAATCCGTGTGTACCTTTATCAGGTTACCCCAAGAAACGCTATAGTAACAGCATTTATTTCATGAGCATTTTCATTTCATCTGGTTCCACAGGAAGTAATCTTTTTAAATCAACCTCATGTACATTTTTACATTGTAGAGCATTTAAATTTTAGCCTAAATAATTTAAAATAATGTTTTGGTGAACTAAGAAATGAAAGGACCAGCTGTGGCCTGGTGGTTAATGTAGCTAGATCCCTCAGGGCCTATCATTATAGTTCAAAACCCAGCCCAAGCAGCTTGAAAAAAAACACTAGGTGTATGCCCCATATTCCAGCAGGAGAAAGAGATGGAGAAGAACAGACTCGGGTGACCAAACCCCGGTACAAGGTGCTTTCTCATTCATCTCGCCCCGTCTGTGTCTAATGCACACAGCCACTGGCAAATTAAAAAAAAAAAAAAAGAAAGAGAGAAAGAAAGAAATTAGGGACCAGCAGTTGGCGTAATGGCTATGTTGCTGGGCTCCCATGTAGTCAACCGCGGTTCGAGTCCTAGACCCAGTGGCTTAAACTCACTCCAGGCTCGTGTGCGTGTGTGCCCAAGACCCCGAGAGGAGAACAGAGGAGAAGGGAATGCGGTGTGGCCATCCCCTCAGGGGTGATTCCTCACTTTCTGTCTCTCTGTCTCGTCTGTCTTTCTGGTGAACGCTCTTGCCTTATAGCGAAAGCCTCTCAAAAACAAACAAAAAAAGAAGTGAAAAAGTATTACAGGAAGTCAAGCGAAAGTAATGAAACTGAGTGGACTTTCTCCTTTTTTTCCTCTTTTTGGGTCTAGATACTCTAATAATTTTCACCTTACACATCTATTATTATGTGAATGATTAAAAACAAATACGTATACATAGTTTGATTTTTAAATGGCTTAGATCTAGTACTGTTCTCTTGTTTCTATTATGAATGTTGGAATTCCAGTTTCAGAAAACTTGAATGGTCAGATTCTTTATGACCGTTCAGTGGCTCCATTTGAATGTAGATTTGCATTTTGTGGATTTTTTTTTTTTTTTTTTTTTTACTTTATATATAGTATGTTCATGTATTTGCTTTGGAATACAAGGTGGGAGACGGACAACGTATTTACCTCGTAACAACTTACGTTCAGCTCTGGTTTTATTATAAATCCCGGTAAGTTGTTCTGACAAAACAACACAGTAAGCTAAAGTTGCATTTCCTCATTCGATAGTTTTACAGGAATTAATTCAGGCTGGATTTGACTTCACTGTTCTTGATAACACAGCCGGCTACTTTTCTGTCCCTGGAATTGAACTTTGGCGTGCTCTTATCATAGCAGCCCTATGTTATCTCAGCCCGTAGGGGAAAAAAATTACATACACACGTATAGGAACCCCAAGGCAGCTTTCAGGTTTTGTAAGCAAGTATTAAATTGTGCTATTAATCACAAATGGGAACTTACATTATTAATTATCTAACAGTAGAGAGATGTCTGCTTTAGCTGTGTCTTCTATTCATACATTTCTCACGCTTGGGTAATGGATGAAAAAATGGGAATAAAGGACCAGCAGGTGGTATGGTGGTTAGGGTGCTGGACATTGCCACGTGGCTGACCATGGTTTGAGTCCCGGACCTGGTGGCTTTCTTTCTCACTATCCCTCTCTCTGTTTCCTTCTCTATGTTTCTCTCTGGCCAAATTAAAATAAATTAATGAATAAATACAATTAAATAAATAATAAATAAACTTAAAAATTTTAAATATAAAAATGGGAATAAATTAATATAGATACCCTGTATTAACTTAAAATACTTTTATTATAATGTTGCTTAATAGCTTCAAATATAAATTTACTATGTCTCTGTGGATGCAATACCAGTTAGAGTTGAAGTAAAACCATTAAGATATTGTGATAGATGCTGTGTTGCTGAAAGTGAGTCGAAGCTTGCAGTGTAAATGAAGATACCGAGTGCGCTGTGTGTGTACACGCGCACACATGTATTTTGGGTTCCTGTGCTCCCTAAGCCACATGATCATATGATTTCCCCATAACGTTTCCTTCATTAAATTACTATAAACCTTTTTTTTGTGTAAGATGTCATTCAGATTTCACTTAGTTCAAATGAACATTTACGTGTTAAGTCCGTGTGTTTTCTTATTAATTCATGTGGAAGTCCTTCATCCCAACGAGAATCTGAAAATGTGAACATTAAAAGCTTACTGAAGTTAGGTAATCCAGGATACTTTAAACCAATTTTTAGAATACTATCTTCCTAATGAAAATATAAATTAAAAAGTTCTTATGTAACGTTCATAGAATCCCAAGAATATGTGATCTTGGGATCCTCCTTCGAGAAAGAACATGGTTTCTCAAAATTTGTTTCATGGTGACACCAAAAACAAATCTAGCAGTAATACACCATATCAAGATCACCTGTGAATAAATAATGCTGTAAGATTGAATAATGTTAGACATTGTAATTGTTACGTCACATTGATGGAAACTATCAGTATGACGAGCAAGAAGCATTCACTATCCCATGTTATTATTTCATAGTTTAAGGGAGACACAGAGGAGAAGGAATTGCAGGGTAAAACACCCCACCAGGGGCACTTTCTCCATTTCTCCCTTATTTGGGATTTGGGGCATGTACCACATGCACTCAGTTCTTCAAGTTGCCAGGTTTGAGACTCAGACGTCAGGATTGGCCACGTGGGATCAGATTCTCAGCACCAGACCACTGGACTGGCCCCATTATTTCATATGTTCATGTGTAGTTAATGCCCTTCTTGAGAGTTAATGCCCTACTCTGTGGTTTGAAAAGAAAGAGGTATTATTCTAACCATCTTAAAGTATTCATTTTAGAAGAAACCTCTTGCACTGCTATGAAGTTATTCCGGAGAATGCTGTGTGTAAGCTTTATTTTGATTTGGAATTCAACAAGCCCGCTAATCCAGAAGCCGATGGGAAGAGGATGGTTGCATTACTCATTGAGGTAAAGGGCAAACTTGAGTTTGCTTTCTTTCTATCCATTCATGACTTGATTCACTTATTCTTACATTCAGTGAGTCCAGCCTATGCAGCATACACATTCTATACTTCTTTGTCTTGCTATTCTTTTTTTATTTTTATTTTTTTAAGATTTTTGCCATAGGGCATATGCATTTGCTAGAGAGAGACAGAGAGAGACAGAAGGAAAGTGAGAAATCATCCCCCAAGGGGGATGGCCATGCCGCAGTCCCTTCTTCATTTCCCTTCCCGGGATTTGGGGCATTAACACACATGCCCCTGGCCTGATTTTCAAGCTGCTGGGTCCGGGACTTGAACTACTGTTGGCCATATGGAAGTCCAGAGCCTTAACCACTGTGTCACCTGCTAGCCTCTTTCATTTTTTAATATTCAGCTGGGAAAATGAAAGTTCATTGATGAACTTTATGTCCACTTATTTTGTAATATTACTGTATCTTGTGAAAAATTTGTGTAAGATGTCATTCAGATTTCACTTAGTTCAAATGAACATTTACGTGTTAAGTCCGTGTGTTTTCTTATTAATTCATGTGGAAGTCCTTCATCCCAACGAGAATCTGAAAATGTGAACATTAAAAGCTTACTGAAGTTAGGTAATCCAGGATACTTTAAACCAATTTTTAGAATACTATCTTCCTAATGAAAATATAAATTAAAAAGTTCTTATGTAACGTTCATAGAATCCCAAGAATATGTGATCTTGGGATCCTCCTTCGAGAAAGAACATGGTTTCTCAAAATTTGTTTCATGGTGACACCAAAAACAAATCTAGCAGTAATACACCATATCAAGATCACCTGTGAATAAATAATGCTGTAAGATTGAATAATGTTAGACATTGTAATTGTTACGTCACATTGATGGAAACTATCAGTATGACGAGCAAGAAGCATTCACTATCCCATGTTATTATTTCATAGTTTAAGGGAGACACAGAGGAGAAGGAATTGCAGGGTAAAACACCCCACCAGGGGCACTTTCTCCATTTCTCCCTTATTTGGGATTTGGGGCATGTACCACATGCACTCAGTTCTTCAAGTTGCCAGGTTTGAGACTCAGACGTCAGGATTGGCCACGTGGGATCAGATTCTCAGCACCAGACCACTGGACTGGCCCCATTATTTCATATGTTCATGTGTAGTTAATGCCCTTCTTGAGAGTTAATGCCCTACTCTGTGGTTTGAAAAGAAAGAGGTATTATTCTAACCATCTTAAAGTATTCATTTTAGAAGAAACCTCTTGCACTGCTATGAAGTTATTCCGGAGAATGCTGTGTGTAAGCTTTATTTTGATTTGGAATTCAACAAGCCCGCTAATCCAGAAGCCGATGGGAAGAGGATGGTTGCATTACTCATTGAGGTAAAGGGCAAACTTGAGTTTGCTTTCTTTCTATCCATTCATGACTTGATTCACTTATTCTTACATTCAGTGAGTCCAGCCTATGCAGCATACACATTCTATACTTCTTTGTCTTGCTATTCTTTTTTTATTTTTATTTTTTTAAGATTTTTGCCATAGGGCATATGCATTTGCTAGAGAGAGACAGAGAGAGACAGAAGGAAAGTGAGAAATCATCCCCCAAGGGGGATGGCCATGCCGCAGTCCCTTCTTCATTTCCCTTCCCGGGATTTGGGGCATTAACACACATGCCCCTGGCCTGATTTTCAAGCTGCTGGGTCCGGGACTTGAACTACTGTTGGCCATATGGAAGTCCAGAGCCTTAACCACTGTGTCACCTGCTAGCCTCTTTCATTTTTTAATATTCAGCTGGGAAAATGAAAGTTCATTGATGAACTTTATGTCCACTTATTTTGTAATATTACTGTATCTTGTGAAAAAAGATGGCAGTCTGGGAATTTTCTATGATTTTAAGTTAGGTGTTTTCTGACCTTCATTACAAACAGCTGACTGATAAAGGCCAAAGCATTTATTGTCAAAAGTAGGTACTGAGATCAGTTTCAAGGAAACTGACTAAAAAGAAGTGTTAGAATATTTAAGCTGGAAGCGATTTTGGAAATCATTTTATTTTGTACCTTCTTAAATGAGGAAATTAAGACCTAGAAGAGACAGACTCATCTTCCTGAAGGGCCCGGAGCTAGTTACTGGCAAAACATTGTCTAGAAACAGCCACTACTATTTATAACTAAGAGAAAAGAATCGAGTTCTAGCATTTATTTTTGACTTAACTATGTTAAACAGGAGGTTACTGAAAGAAGAATAATATGGGTTTGTATAGTAAATTCTATTAGGATTATTTAAAAAAAATTTATGTTACAGGAAGCTGTATTACAATTGTACTGGGCCTCAGAGTAGATACAGTTACTAAATAACTTTTTTTAGATGTTAACTGAATCATAATTTGGTAAATGATTTATGTATTTATTTATTTTTATTTTACTATGAGGTGCATGCACTTGCAAGGGAGGGAAGAAAATAAGAGTGCCCTCCATGGGGGACAGCCACATCTCAATCCCTTCAGTTCTCTTCACAGGATTTTGGGCATGCACATACATGCTCCTGGTGTGTTTTCCTTTTGTCCTTTTTTTTTTTTTTAAGGTTTTTGCCATAGAGCACATGCACTTACTGGAGAGAGAGAGAGACAGTGAGAGGGAAAGTGAGAAATCTCCCCTTGAGGGAGATGACCACATTGCAATCCCTTTTCCTCTGTTCTCAGGATTTTGGGCATACACACACACACACACACACACACACACACACACACACCCAGTGTGAGTTTTAAGCCATCAGATCCAGGACTTGGACTGTGGTCAGCCATGTGGGAATTCATTGCCTTAACTACAGCGCCACCTGCTAACCCCTACTCTTTTTTTATGTGTGTGAGAGAGATTTTTGCTGTAGGGTTTGTGTGCTTACCAAAGAGACGGAGACACAGAAAGCTAGAAATCACCCTCCGGGCGGATGTTCATGCCACAGTCCCTTCCCCTTCAGTCTCATCTGGAGATTTTGGGTACACACACCCCTGGAATATTTTTCAGGCTGCTGGGTCTGAGATTTAGACTACCTGTGGGATCTAACCACCTTAAACAGCACACTACCAGCTGGCTCCTTTCTCCTAGTTTTAATGCAGAAGAAATGTACTTAAAACACTTCTACAGCTGGCATGGTGGTTAGGGTGCTAGATTTCCACATAGTAGACTGCGGATCAAGTCCCTGCCCCTGGCAGCTTGAAAATGACTCCCAGCATGTGTGCATGTATGCCCCAAATCCCTAGAATGGAAGAGAAGGCATTGCAGCGTGGCTCGTGGGGAGGATTCCTCAGCCTTGTTGGAGTCCAGCATCTTAACCACTAAGCCACCTGCTGGCTTCATGACTTAACTTTTAATTATCTACTCTGGCAATTAGAATGAATTCTGGTTGTAATGCATTTTTCAAAACCATGTTGACAGTTAACATTGCACAAACAAAAGACATATTTTTAACTTCTGGATTTTATAACTGAATTAGTGAAATAACTCAAAATTTTATTTAAAGTTTAACTTGGGAAAGAGAATTTAGGAGCGTATGATTACTTATTTTGCTGACAGAGTCATTGAACTTTCCTCTGTAGCTCCTGTGTACAGGGCTTGACGTTCATCGTTTATCAAAAATAGTTCATCCCCTCCCATCAGGCACCATGCCTGTGTGTCCGGGAGTATAATGGTGAGCCAGAGAGACGTAGTTTCTGACTTCACAGATTCTGCAGTCTTACAGAAGCTAGTTCGTTAGTGTAGAGTTCACTGTCATAATAACTACACAAGATGGAAGCGTGTTTCTCTCCCAGGTACCGTGGAACTTGTCCCCTTTCTGTTAGGGACCTGGCGTGTCGCTTCGTTGTTCCTAAGCTGTTGCTTTATTCACGCTATCCAAGTTCTTGGTAGCTCCCTCTTTCACATGAGACACTGAGGCTTAGGTAGAAGTGACTTATCTTAAGCCTGCACAGCTAGTATTTTTTGTTTGTTTGTTTTTAATTTGCCAGAGGCTGTGTGTACTTGCTGGAGAGAGACAGAGACAGGTAGAGAGGAAGAGAGAGAAAGTGAGAGAGCAACCTCCATAGGGCATAGTCACACTGCAGTCCCTTCTCCCTTCCTCCCTCCTTTAGTGTTCTGATCACACACACACACGTATGCTCAGTGTGTTTTGCAAGCCACCTGGTCTGGGACTGGAACCCTGCGGGTGCTGCAATGGATCATGTAGCTAACCGGCAGTCATAGACAGGCCCACAGCCAATACTTTTAAGCAGTTACATGTAGCAGGCATCTGCTAATTCCTTAATCTCCTCATTTCTCCTCCTAGCCAGGGGTTAGGAGCTGTCATTCCCATTTAGCAACTGAGTAATAAGGTGTAGGTTTGACCTTTGGCACAAAGCTGGTAAATGGCAAGGCTAGAACGTGGACTTAGACCTGACTGCAAATCTCGTACGTGCCATACACTTGCTTCCTTTCGGGAATGCACAACTGCTTTCACTGTCAGTGTTGTCTAGCCCTAGAGGCTGTATTCTTAGAAATGAATTTGAGGTCTGTATGAATGAGAAACTCTCTAATAATTAAAATTATGGGACCACCCCGTGACATGGTCGTTAAGGCAGCTGAGTACTACAAGTCCGACTGCATGGTTTCAGTTCCGAACCCAGGGATTTGAGAAGCATGTGAGTGTGTGTGTGCATGCCTGAAATCCTGGAAACAGAAATTGGAGAAGGAACTGTGACGTGACTACCCCCCCATGAGGGATGATTTCTCCTTTCCCCTTTCTCTCTGTCTCCAGTAAGCACATGTGCCCTCTAGACCAGCAGTTGGCGTAATGGCTTTGTTGCTGGACTCCCATGTAGTCGACCACGGTTCGAGTCCCAGATCTGATGGCTTAAAGTCATGCCAGGCACATGTGCCTGTGTGCCCAAGATCCCGAGAGGAGAACGGAAGAGAAGGGATTGTGGTGTGGCCATTCCCCCTGGGGGATGATTTCTCGCTTTCTGTTTCTCTGTCCTTCTTGTGAGTGTATGCACCCAATAGCAAAGAACCTCTCAAAAATAAATAAATAAATAAAACCCTGAAGAAATGGAATAGTGACATTTTAACCGATAGGTGATTTTTTTTTTTTTTTGGAAGAGGCTTTTTCACCATAGGGTGTGTGTGCTCACCAGAAAGAGAGAGACAGAGAGATAGAAAGTGAGAAATCACCCCCCTGGGAGGATGGCCACACCTCAATCCTTCTCCTCCATTCTCCTCTTGGGATCTTGGGCACACATGCACATGCACCCAGCGTGAGTTTAAGCTGCCGGGTCTGGGACTTGAACCGCTGTCGACTACATGGGAGTCCAGCGACATAGTCATTACGCTAAACTGCTGGTCCCCCAATAGGTGATATTTAAAGAGATGCTTAAAAATATTTTTATTGTGACTTTAGAGAAAATTAATGCATAAATTTCCTGACTTCTAAGAAACCTGTGTATTTTTAACATAGAGATATGGGAGAGGGTCTTCAAAAGGTTTGTGGAAAATACATGCTATTGAAAACCTATGCCTGGATTTCAAGTTTGTTGGCACCAAAATAAACTCGAATTTTAATGCCATTTTCCACAAACTTGTTGAAGTCTCCTCGAATAATAATTTAATATGATACATACTCTAATTTAAAAATTGGTAAGAATGCTATATTGTAAATATTCCGATAGTTAATGGGATATTTTTTCTTAGTTTTACATCAGACTTGTGCCAAGATACTTCAGTTTTTGCTCTTAGATAATTTTTAAAACAAAATGTCTAAGTTATTTACATTTCACTCATCTTGTAGCATGTTTGTAAAGCGCTTCAAGAGTTGTATGGTGTGACTTGTTCAGCCAAGGATGTGTTCAACTTGGATTCCAGCACTGACGAAAAGTTTAGCCGCCATTTGATATTTCAGCTCCGCGATGTGGCGTTTAAAGATAACATTCATGTGGGTAAGTACACTTTAAAAAAAATCAGGCAGTCATACTGAAAACTCATATTTTCCTATCCCTCTTAAAATTGAGAAGTATTTATCAAGCTTTGTAGTTGTTAACCTATCCTTAAAAAAATGAAACGCGATTTCCCACGTTCTCGGGATTTGCCCTCGGCTCTAGGCTGCCCTCCTGTTCTCGGCAGTCACACACGCAGGGTGTCTTTGGCATCGGTGCCTCTCATCACGGGTATCACGCGCTGCTACTGGTTCCTGCTCCAACAGGGCTCATTGCAGTGTTCTAGGTAATTGGTGCAAGGGCTTTCTATTTCCAGCCTTTCCTGTGGTGTGCCTTATCTGGATTTGTACCTTTGCTTCAGTTTAGCTTTGGGGCTTGGCTCCCAGATCATATCAAGAAGGGCTTGCTCCTATTCCAGACCGAAGTTCAAGTTTGCAGTCAAGTCTAGATGCCCACATCTGTATACCGACGAAGTTCAACCAGAGAATTTGTCCCTGACCTGGCATTTAGAGATACACCCCAGGTATAAAATGAGGAAGCTCCAGGGAAGATACAAAAAGGCAGAATAGGGGAACCAGCAGTTAGCGTAGTGACTATGTCGCTGGACCCCCATGTAGTCGACCGCGGTTCGAGTCCCGGACCCGGTGGCTTAAACTCATGCCGGGCGCGTGTGCGTGCGTGTCCAAGATTCCGAGAGGAGAATGGAGGAGAAGGGATTGCGGCGTGACCATCCCCCCTGGAGGGTGATTTCTCGCTTTCTGTCTCTATGTCTCTCTCTGTCTGTCTGGTGAGCACACGCGCCTTATAGTGAAAATCTCTCCCAAAAAAAAAAAAAAAGGCAGAATTGGGCAGCATGGTGATTAAGGCACTGGACTCCCACACGGCCAGCTGTGGATTTAGTCCTGGATCCGACGGCTTGAAAATCATGCCTGGAGCATGTTTTAACATGCCCCAAATCCTGGGAGAATGGAGGACAAGGGTTGCGGCCTGGCCATCCATCCTGGGAAGCGACTTCTCACTTCCACTGTTTCTAGTTGTCCTTTTCTGGTGAGCGCACATACTCGATGGCAGAAACCTAAGACGAAACGAATAGGCAGAGTGGGAACACCAAAACCTAAAGTCTCAGTAGAAGCCAAAATCCTGGGTGAGTGGTAGGATGGGGCGAGTATTTCTAGATCCGAATAACAGATGGGAGTTGAGGACAGAGGGCATTTGTTTCAGAACAGCCAATGTTTCCGTTTCACGGGCACTTAGGGTAAAAGACGCCGATGTAGTCTCCAGGGGGCTGGCGTAAATGGCAGGAATTGAATTGCTGGATGAGGGTCACGCCTGGCCACTGTGACCTCGTGTGCTGTGCTGGAGGTTCCTTTTTATCTTCCTGTTTTCTGTTCGCTTAGCTAGACATCCCTTCTGCTTTCTCCCACCGCTAGATATAAGTGATTGCGGTCTCTCCTCGACCCCTCCTGACCCTGCGCTTAGCCTTCATGATCACCCACGATCATGGCTTTACCATCATCTACGTTGAAGGCGGAAGGGCCAGTCTTTCACTTCGGCCCAGATATTCTCCTAGGTATCAGACCCACGAGCCAGCTGGCCACTAACTGTCCCTCCCCAAGCCCTTGCTGTTCAGCACGTCCAACACTGAGCCCCTCATCTTCCCTCCGAAACCTGCACCTTCTCGTGTCTTTCAGTGAGTGGTGTCGCCATCCACCCAGGTACACAAGTGGAAATGACTCGTGCCATTTTTGACCCCTGTGTATCTCTCTGCCTACTCATTTATTCAGCTAGCCAGTGAGCTGATGACATGGCTCGGGTGCCTCCAACCGGTCAGTGACGACTCGCTCCCTTCAGGAGAAAGTGCAGCTGTCTTAGCTGGCAACACGAGGCCCAGTGAGCTCCGGCCGCCCCTCACCCTGGCCCGCCTCTCACTCAGCGTCCATGTGGGCCATGTTTTCTGTAGGCCTTGAGTCTTTGCAGTTTTTCCTGCTGCTGTCTAGAAGACACCCCCTTTATGTGTCAAGTCCTCTGAGAGGCTGTCTCTGTCACTTCCCCAAGCCTAAGGCTCAGGTCGGCGTTCCCCCGGGTGGCGGTGTCCAGAGCTTATCTTGAAAGCGGTGACCACTTCCTGAGGGGATTTCCTGTTTCTGTTGTCTTCCCCTCTGTCCCACTGAATGTTTGGTTAGGGCAGGGAGTCTTTCTTAGGCACTCGTATTTCCAGGGCTTATCACATAATAATGTCATCTGTACTATTAATGACCTAATTAATATAACATCAGAAATAATCAATACAAACAGGCGTTTAGTAAGTACTTGCTGAGTGGGTGCATGACTGTTAAGGTGCAGCTGTCAGGGTGTGGAACCAGAGTCCTCAGCAAGATATTTCTTTGATTCCTCTTCACTCCTCATAGTCTGCTCAGTGACTTCTAGCCACAAAGAGAAGGACTGAGAATCTCTCACTAGGGAGGAAGGGGGTAGAGATTAGTCAGGTAGCCAGCACTCTTTGCTGCAGATCTTTTGAAAGCAGGTGACAGTCAAACGGCTCTGACTGAAATTCTGTCATACGCGCAAAGGCAGACCCTTTGCTTTACGTCCTTGCTATCAGAAATGGCCTGAAAAGGGACCAGCAGTTAGTGTAATGGCTATGTTGCTGGACTCCCACGTAGTCGACCACGGTTCGAGTCCCAGACCCGGTGGCTTAAACTCACGCCAGGCGCATATGCATGCGTGCCCAAGATCCCAAGAGGAGAATGGAGGAGAAGGGATTGCGGTGTGGCAATCTCCCCTGGGGGGTGATTTCTCGCTTCCTGTCTCTCTGTCTCTGTCTGTCTGGCGAGCGCATGCACCCTATTGCAAAAAACCTCTCCAAAAAAAGAAACAAAAGAAAAAAAAAAAAGAAATGGCCTGAAGAAAACTGTAAAAACGTGTTTTTGGGCACTTTGGGGAGCAGTGGATGGTCTAGTCTGGTAAAGTGAGAGACCTCATTAGACCTGCTAAACAGGAAGCCCTCGGCCGAGCTGTCCTCTAAAATTCAGAACTGCCAGAATCAGAGATGGAGAGGAAGCTGCCCACGCTTTCCCTGCAGTTCCCCTCCCTCACTGTGTCTTTTAAGGACTTTTCTAGCTTTTGTTAGCCTTTCAAAAAGGGGAGTTGGACTAAATATGAGAGAGGATTGGATCTGCCTAAAAAGACTTTTCTTAGGGCCAGCAGGCGAGGTGATGGGTAAGGTGCCGGACTCCCACGTGGCTGACCGTGGTTCGAGCACCAGACCTGGAAGCTTAGAAATCACAAAATGGATACCTGTGCGTCCAAAATCCCAGGAGGAGAATGGAGGAGAAGGGATTGAGGTGTGGCTACCTCTTCCGGGGGAGGAGAGACGTGATTTCTCTTTCTCTCTGTCTCCTTCCTGCAAGCACATGCATCCTATGGCAAAAAAAAAAAAAAAGAAAAAAAAAAAAAACGAAAACAAAAAAACCCCAGACTTTTCTGCAAATCTGCCACAGTACCTGAACTTTTTCAAATTAGTTCTTTTGAGTTATGCCCCACCAGTAAGTGAGGGCCTGTCTAATGAGGGGGTAAGGGTGACAAGAGCGGAGAGGGGAGTAGGAAGCAGGGAGCGGTTTGGGGGTGCAGTGTGTCGTGTCTGTGCTGACCCACCTGTAACCTGGCCCTGCCAGCTCCCTGCCAATGGTCAAAGGTCCGGCCAGTCTCCTGGGCACCGCCATGGCAACCGTTAGTGCTTCTCTGACTGCCAGGTGACAAGGAGGTGCGACGTGGACTTTCCTGGAAGCCTGATTTATCAGTTTATGCTCACACTGCTGTGTTGGCCTTTGATACGTCGTGAGTTCTTTTCACTCGGTGTTTACCCTTTCTCCTTCCTGCTTGAATACCATGTGGACATGGCAAGGACCAAATGGTTTTACTTTCATTTTGACGTCAAGAGTTTTAGGAGAAACTGTTTCTTTGAGTAAGATAGTGCTCACATCTCATTTGGATAAAGATAATTTTGATTTAAGAGTACAACTTTTTCTGTGTAACAAAATGTGAGTAAACCCGGATCGTAAGAGGTCTAGAGGTCGCTTTTACAGTATTGCGTCTCTCTAGGTGGAGTAATGTACCTGAAGCAACTTAGTAGCCACATCGTTGCTTGATTGTGTGACATAAATAGTACATGTGAGTTTTGCAAAGTTCTAGATCATCTCACCAGCTTTTCACGGTACAGATAAGACTACTGACATTAAGAGCTTGCAGGAGAAATGTTGAAGTGTGGTAAATGTATTTGATTGCTTTCGTTCTGGGCTTTAGCTCTGAGGCCATCTATCCCATGCCCATTTTGAGGGAGAGGCGACAGTAGCCACAGGCTTGAAGCAGATGGCGGTGAAGGTCAGGTTCGTAGGGGACGAAGGTTCCTTCCTTCCGGAAATGCTTTGTTTACAACTGACACCACGCTCCCAAGTGGATAGGAATCGAGAACGTAAGAGATTGCACAGAAGAAGGAAGTGACCAGAGAGGTCCATTACAGTTTGTACTAACTCAGTTTTAAAACCAGAAATCTAAAAAGCCTTACTGTGTGAAAGTGTCATATGGGGATTTCTGTCTAGGTCCCGAGTTAGTTTGCAGAAAAGAGTTAAATTACTCATCATCTTTTTTTTTTTCCCCTTAGGTAATTTTGTGAAAAAAATTTTGCAGCCTGCTCTCCACTTCATTGCCAGTGGAGAGGATGATTCAGGTCCAGAGACGACGGGGCATGGATTTTCTCGTTTTTCTGAAGCACCAGTAAAACAAGGGATTTCCTCTAACAGGATGTCCACAGGTGAGGATACGGGAGCCAGCCGGACATGGAGTCCAGAGGAACCAGAGAGGCCCAGGTCAGCCAGACCAAGCAGTCCTGATCTTTCCTTCCTGGTTGTGAAGAATAACACGGGAGAAAAGCGTCTTTTTGTAGATCTGGGTGAGTGGAATCAGCAGCTGACTCTGTTAGACTGTCCTGTGTCATTTCATGAGACAAGCCAACACCCACTTCTCACGATGCTTAAGACTCTCGCTGCCATCACTGCCCCGCAGTGACAGTGCACGTCATAGCAGAAGGTGCTCAGGGAGCTCAGGTGTGGGGATCTAATAGGGCTCCGCTCAGAGAGGCCCCTTGGGACACGAGCCCCAGGCTGATGAGCGGCGGGAGAGAATGCGGTGGCTGGCTTCTCTTCTACGTGTCCAAAGGTTCCTGTCAAAGGAGTTTTGATAGGGACAGTTGAACCAGCACCTTCCCATACTGCTCAGAGGTTCAGTTTGATTACATACATTTAAAAACCAGACATGATAGAGGCCAGTGGATGCCATGGAAGTTAAGGCAGCTGGATCCCACATGGCTAACTGTGGTTTGAGTCTTGGACCTGGAGACTTGAAAATCACACTGGGCACATGTGCGTGTGTGCCCGAAATCCTGAGAGGAGACTGGAGGAGAAGGGATTGTGGTGTGGCCATCCCCCTGAGGGGTGATTTCTCTCTCTCTTTCTCTGTGATGTGCATATGCTCCCTAGAGCAAACTAAACAACAACAAAAGCAGACATGATATAAAAATGGTACTTGGGCCCAGCCCCTGTGGCCAACACTGGTAAGATGCTATGCTCTGCGGGCTGGGACCACACGGGAGACCCCAGTTTGATTCCTGGTCCAACCTGAAGGCTGGGAATGGTGGTGTACCCAGTCCCAACTGAAAGACTGAGGTGGGAAGATCATGGCAGCAAGACCTTCTCTTAAATGAGAACAAAAAGCGCCATGGAAGTTAAGGCAGCTGGATCCCACATGGCTAACTGTGGTTTGAGTCTTGGACCTGGAGACTTGAAAATCACACTGGGCACATGTGCGTGTGTGCCCGAAATCCTGAGAGGAGACTGGAGGAGAAGGGATTGTGGTGTGGCCATCCCCCTGAGGGGTGATTTCTCTCTCTCTTTCTCTGTGATGTGCATATGCTCCCTAGAGCAAACTAAACAACAACAAAAGCAGACATGATATAAAAATGGTACTTGGGCCCAGCCCCTGTGGCCAACACTGGTAAGATGCTATGCTCTGCGGGCTGGGACCACACGGGAGACCCCAGTTTGATTCCTGGTCCAACCTGAAGGCTGGGAATGGTGGTGTACCCAGTCCCAACTGAAAGACTGAGGTGGGAAGATCATGGCAGCAAGACCTTCTCTTAAATGAGAACAAAAAGCAGTACTTCAGTGGCAAGGTGGGGCTGGGCATATTCTTCACTGAACATCACATCTGGTCAGCTCGTTGGTAGTTTCAGGAGCCTTTCACCAGTTTTCTTGCTGCAGTCAGACAGGTGACTTCTTCAGCCCAACTGTGCTCCCTTTCACTCTTCTTGGTTCTGGTGTCTGAACCTGAGGCTCTGGGAAGCTCTGCTTGGACTGAATGACTTCAGCCCGATTAACAGACTAGTCGAGTCCTAATGCAAGAGGTCCAGTTTGGTGAACTAAAACTCATTTTCATTTCATTTAGTTATTTAAATTTTGCCAGAAGGTGCATATGTGTGCCAGAGACCGTGTTTGTGCACGTGCACGCGTTGGGGGTGGGGGGCGATGGCCATACCACAATCTCTTCTTTCATATTCCTCTCAGCAACGACATACGCCTGGTGTGTATTTCAGGCCTCAGGTCCCATACTCAACCCATGTGGTCAGCTTTTGGGGATCCAGCTGCCTTAACCACCATGCCATCAGCTGGCCCCAAACTTCATTTTTATATTCAAGTTCAAACTCATGGCTTGAAAAGCTGTAAGAATGGCATTTTTGCCAGTGACCATTTGAGTATCTCAGAGAGTGTCCATGTTGAGGAGAAGTAGGTTTAAATTAGTCAGGATGGCCCAGCCAATGGGTACCAAGGGGAACATTCATGCCTTACTGCCTTTCTTCCTGGTACCGTTGACAATCAAGGACCAGAATCAGGAAATAGCATCACCTTGCCATGAATCCAGTGTCCATGTGTATTCCGGTCTTTTCTGCACTCTGTTCTCCATTGTTCTATTGATCTATTGTGCCAGTATCATGCTGTTTTCATTAGTGGAGTTCTCTTGTCAATCTTCCTCACTAACAAAAATAAGTCCTCTAACTTTGTTCTTTGAAATGACTTAACTATATTCTTGGCCTTTTATGCTTTCATTAGAATTTGAGAGTCCATTGTCAGTTGACAGAAATACAGACCATTCTAGGATTTTGATGTGGGTTGCATGAGTTGATGGCTCAGTTTGAGAAGTTGACATTTTTGTAATACTGAGTCTTCTAATTCACGCACATGACATAATGTGTCCCTACATTCACTTAGGTGTTCCCCAGTTTCTTTCAGTAATGTTTCATAATGTTCTGAATGAAAATCTCGTGTATCTTTTTGTTAGATTTATTCCAGATATTTGATTTAAAATAAGAATGCCAGAAGGCATGTGTGTTTACCAGAGACAAAAGGTAGGGTATGGTCACACAGTGATCTCTTCATCTCTCCATCCTGTTGGGATCTTGGTGCACGTGTACACGGGTCCGGCGTGGTTCTCAAGCCACCGAAGATGGGATTTGAACTGTGATTGGCCATGTGTGATCTAGTTCCTTTGAACACTAGGGGTTGGGGCTGGCCCCAAATTTTTTTTATGCTTTACTTTACTGTGTGATTTTGCCCCACAAATCTTCATTGCCTGAGAGCTCTCCAGTTATAACTCTAAACATTTTTATTTCTAATGTCTTTGTTCAGCTTTTCTTATTGTTTTTATGTGGAGAATTGCTCCAGAATACTCTAGTTTGCTATTTCTGGGTGTGGCTTTCTATCATGTTAACTCCATTTTATCTTCATTTATATATTGCCTTAATTTTGTTTACAGTGTATATAGAAAATAATTGTTTCTTCTAGTGATGTTATGCAAAAAGCTTAATATTGGCTGACTATAGAACTAATCATAGAGGGACCAACAGTTAGCATAGTGGCTATGTCGCTGAACTCCCATGTAGTTGACCGCAGTTCATGTCCCGAACCCGGTGACTTAAAACTCACACCGGGTGTGTGTGCATGCGTGCCCAAGATCCCGAGAGGAGAATGGAGAAGAAGGGATTGTGGTGTGGCCATCCCCCTTGGGGGTGGTTTCTCGCTTTCTGTCTCTCTGTCTCTGGCGAGTGCACAAAAATAAATCCTCTCTCTGGCGAGTGCCCTATAGCAAAAACCTCTCAAAAAAAAATAAAAAACTAATCATAGAAAACATGCATTTATATTATTTGTATTAATTTTTGATGTAGGAGTTTATACAAGAAATAGAAACTTTCGTCTGTATAAATCATCAAAAATAGGAAAACGTGTGGCTTTTGAGATTGCTGAGGACAACAAATTTTTTCCTGAAGAGTCAAAAAAGGTTTCTGAAGAAAATCAATATTTCCTCTATTCTTTGGTCACCAATATCAGGTATGTAGTACCAGAATTGAACCATTGTGTATTCTTGAATAATTATTATTGTAATTATTATTTTTTAGAGAGAGATTTTTACTACAAGGTGCATGTAGTCAGCAGAGAGACAGAGAAAGAGACAGAAAGAGAGAAATCATCCTCCACTGGTACTGGCCACACCGCAATCCCTTCTCCATTCTCTTGGGATTTTGGGCACGCATGCACACATGCCTGGTTTGTTGTAAGCCACCAGGTTTGGGACTTGAACCACGGTCGACAACCTGGGAGTTCAGGACATAACCCTTACACCATCTGCTGGTCCCTCATGAATAATTATTAAACAGTGACTGTAATTGTGTAAATTCATTTTACCTATAAAAAAAAAGAAAAAAAATTATTTAAAAATTCTAGGTTAATTGTTCTTTTTTCTCCAATTACTAAAAAATAAATAGTGAAAGATATTTTGTAATCACTTAGTTTTTTTGTATCTATTTATGATTATTTTTTCAGTTTTTCTAAAATGATTATCACTTCCATGAAGAAAATACTACTTTTTTAATACATAAAAATATAATTGCTGTTGTCTCATTTTCTTTTCTTTTTTTCTTTTTTTTTTGGTGAGGTTTTTGCTATAGGGTGCGTGTGCTCACCAGAAAGACAGACAGAAAGTGAGAAATCACCCCCTGGAGGGATGGCCACACCACAATACCTTCTCCTCCATTCTCCTCTCGGGATCTTGGGCACGCACGCAAACACATCTGGCGTGAGTTTAAGCCGCTGAGTCTGGAACTCGAACCATGGTCGACTACATGAGAGTCCAGTGACCTAGCCGTTATGCCAGCTGCTGGTCCCTCCTTTTCTTTTTATATGTACATGCTTACATAGAATTTACATAGCTCTTTTATTAAAATATTTTTTGAAATAATTATATGGTTATGTCAACTGTTTTTAAAACTCAGAATTACATATTTGCCAAGTTAATAATTTGTTAACTGTTAATTATTAAATAAATAAGTGAAATAAATAATATTCTCAATTCTTATATAATTTGCCAATATTCTTTTTTTTTTTTTTTTTTTTTTTTGGGGGGGGGAGAGATTTTCACTGTAGGGCGCGTGCGCTCGCCAGACAGACAGAGAGAGACATAGAGACAGAAAGCGAGAAATCACCCCCCGGGGGGATGGTCACGCCGCAATCCCTTCTCCTCTCGGGCTCTTGGGCACGCACGCACACGCGCCCGGCGTGAGTTTTAAGCCACCGGGTCCGGGACACGAACCGCGGTCGACTACGTGGGAGTCCAGCGACATAGCCATTACGCTAACTGCTGGTTCCCTAATTTGCCAATATTCTGACATACTCTATTATCAGTTCTGTTTTCAAATGTTTAAGTTCCCATGGTTTGGTTTTTTCAAAAGCGTGTAAGTCTGGGCCAGCCCTGTGACCTAGTGGTTAAGGAAGCTAGATCCCACATGGCTGACTGCAGCTTGAACCCTGGTCCTTGTGGCCTGAAAAATATAACTGGGCCCATGTGCATGGGCACCCCAAATCCCAACAGGATGGAAAAAGGGAGAAGAGATTCTGGCATGGCTATACCCTACTGGGTATGCTTTTGCCCCCTCCTTCATTTTTCTGGCTAACACATGTGCCTTATGGCAATTAAAATAAAAGTATGAAAGGCATATTTCAACAGAAATATTTGTTCTCGTTCTTTTTTATCTAAGCTGGCAATTTTGTCAGCCCAGAAACATGGTTAAAAATCAGACCAAATTGTTATTAACTTACTATGATTATTTTTCTCTAAATTTTAATGAAAAATTCCACAGAAATAATTTTTTGGAAAAATTTATTTTTTATTAATGTTTTTTAATTTGCTATAGGGCACGTGTGCTCACCAGAGAGAGATAGAGAGAGAAAGTGAGAAAGCAAACCACCAGGTCCAGGACTCGAACTGTGGTTTTTCATGTGGGTGGCCTTAACCACCCAGTGCCTTAACCAACATGACAGGAATAATTATAACAGGACTACTTTTTAACAGAAATATTTAAAATACATTGGTGTAGGG